GTGATCAGTGAGCTGCTCATGGGAAACCATTCTTGACAATGAGTTGTATTCAGGATGGTGCCCAAGCATTGTCTGGAAAAGTATGAACTGGCACAAGCCAAAACTGTGCCAGAGAGTGTGCTCATTATCCATCAACACAGGTGATCACAGGCCAGTGTTCAGTACTATGACCTCACTCTTTCTTACTTCCTAGTATACACAGGGCCACTGGGATCACAAAGACAGAGCTCAGAAGACTATAATTACAACTGCTCCAAAGCAGAGACTGAAGCTGAAAAACTCCACGTGTCTGAAACCACTCTCTCCTTACAAAACTGCCTTTCACTACACCTAGTGTTGTAATCATCTGGACTAACTCAGAAGTATTTGCTTTATAATTCTATTTCTGAACTTACGAAATCCAGCACCAGGTCCTTCATACTCCAAGTGTAAAGGATTTTGGAGCAATTGGCACCTGCCTATTTTAGTCTGGTGTTACATATGTTGTTTTCTTTTCATTAAAGTCCCTGGCTACCACAGGAACTATGCTCAAAATTATGCAAATAAACATGCTATATTGCAATGACACTGCCTGAATACGCAGTGGACCTGCAATGTAAAATTCATAGCTGCTCAGGAGCTTGAAGGAATATTTGTTTCAACCAACAGAATCTGAAATAACTTCCTGAGGTGAATATTGCTTAAAGCAGTTCTTCCAAGTTTCCACTCTGGCCTGCTATCAGAGGGTAAAAGGATCAAAAGACATTGCCTGTCTTGGGTTACATAAGGTTGAAGGATACCACATGGCTGTGTCAGGTTCCAGCCAGGAGTAAAAATAAACTAAACTGGGATGTGTTCCTCAGCAGAGCCAATCCATAGGAGGAAAGGTGGGCTTTGTGTAACTGAATTTTTTTTTTCCTGCCTGTTCTCATGTACCCATATATTACAGCACAAAGATCTCAATTTTTTAAAGAACTGTCCTAGTATCTGGTGTGTATATGTACAGTCTCATTGTGATCACGGGGTTGAAGAACCGAATGAAATGCTGACAGCGACAATTCACCATTTTTTGGAAAAGCAATACACTGGGAAAAAGTAACCATTAGGAATAAGGAGGACTAACGTGCAGTGTTTTTTCTCACCCTGTCTCTGTTCTCTCCCCTTAGCGTGAGTGCATCTCTATTCATGTTGGCCAGGCTGGAGTTCAGATAGGAAATGCATGCTGGGAACTCTTCTGCCTGGAGCATGGCATTCAGCCAGATGGCACCTTCAAGGATCTGCATGATAAACTCAACTATGATGACTCTTTTACCACATTTTTCAATGAAACAGTCACTGGGAAGCATGTGCCACGAGCTGTAATGGTGGACTTGGAACCAACTGTAGTAGGTCAGTATAGAAATAAACCTGGAAAATGGAAAAGAGCTTACTCTTCCTAATATCACCGTGGTGTGCCACCAGTCTCCACTGGTACAAAGCAGCATACCTTTTGTATCTTGGTCTACCACTAGATAGCATAAAATTAATTTTCTTGTAACACAGAATGCTAGATTCTGTCAAGACTCAATTATCTCCATAGGTGTTATAAACATAGGAACAGCAGGATCCTCAGCAGTTTAATAGCTAGTACACATGGTTTGTATAACTTCTCTTCGCACAAACATTTAACTTTTGGTTTTGTTTATCGTGACCTTTTTTGCCATTTGAATTCTGCTTTTCTCTGATCCAGATCCAAAGTGGGAGCCTGACAGTTTCCCTCCAGAAATAGAAGAATTTCTAAAAATTGAGGCACCTGGGGGAACCTGATTTTCTTCACACTTTTCTTCTGGTGACTTGTGCTCTTGTTGTACAGGCTGCACAACTGAGAAGTTCTGGAGAAGACAAATTCTGTGGCTGGATACAAGTCATACCATAAATCAACAGAATGCAACAATTTAAAAATGTTTAGGAAACAGTTTTCCTTTCTCTGTCAGCATCTGTTTTTTGCGGTCATGACCTCCAGTGACTGAAAGCTTGCATCAATGCCAACAGCAACCAGAACTTGTTGGCAATGGAGCACAGCCATGCAGCTTCTCACAATTTCTCTTTCTTGTTCAGATGAAGTACGGGCTGGCACTTTCCGGGAACTTTTTCATCCAGAACAGCTGATCACTGGAAAGGAAGATGCAGCTAACAACTATGCCCGTGGCCACTACACCATTGGCAAAGAAAGCATTGATATGGTGCTTGATCGTGTCCGTAAACTGGTAAGTCCCAGTAGTTTTGAAACAGCGGTTTGGATTCTGCAGAAGAAAGAAGTATAGAACAGATAGCTTGTTAACTACAGATGAGACCAATGGTTCAGAAAAGAGATTGCAAGGCATACAGAGGCGTCATTACCAATCCAAGAGAGAGAAGCCCAGTAGTACACTACCCAGCTGTATGCCTTCAGATACTCTTAAAAAGTAGTTCTGCATATGTAATTCTTCATTAATAGCACAGCCCTGGAGCACCAATACTGATATAGAAGGGTGGATTAGGCAGTTCTACATTGCTGGTTTCAGCTAGACTAACTAAAAGAAGTGTGAAGATCAGAGGGAGAAGCACCACAGATAAGAGTTCAATTTCTATGTCAAAAGTTGAGCCAGTGAAGGAAGGAAAGGATAGGATTATCACCATCCCTTACTCAAGAAAACCAGTCATGAAAGCGATGCTGTATATTGCTGATGACTGCTCTCACCTTCAGCTCAGAATAAGCTCATGTAGTAGATGACATCTTTTCATTCTTCTTCAGACCCCATTCTGTCACCTTCTCTTTTGCTTTCTAGACTGATGCCTGTTCTGGG